TGTGTGTGTGTGTGTGTGTGTGTGTGTGTGTGCGTGTGTGTGTGTGTGTGTGTGTGTGTGTGACAGGCCCTGGCTCTGGTGAGGGACAGTCCCTTGCTGACGAAGCTGGCCAACAGCGCGCTCTACCCTCTCATCTATGTAGTCCAGCAGTTTATACACTGGCTCTTTATGGGCTACCCCCTAGTGCCATTCTGCCTCTTCACCTATGACAAATGGCTCAAGGTAACTCACACAGCTCTGACAGTAGAGTCACAGGAAAAATACAGTCATTCTCACTTATATCATAAAAGCTCGGGTTTTTAATTGTTGGGATCCTGTGATCCCACATGCTTTCGAAGCTTACTAATCTCTTTTACATGCTACAGACTTCATTAAAATTGGACTCTGTGTGTTAAGTTTATCAGATATTTGCCACTAAAGTCCAAGTTTTATAGATTTTAGAGCTTTCATCAGTCTGTCATGTGACCACCGAGGGTGGAGCACTGCTTTTTTGAGACTCCAAAACATTTCTAAACTGTTCCTGAGCGTACGTAATTATCTGAATCTCCACATAACTGGCATCAAGTTGTAGCCACAAGTCTCTTGTGTTTGTGAATGTGATCCTCTTACTGATTAGATGTTTGGTATTTAGGACTTTCAAACTTTATTGAAAGATAAGTCACTTTGTGCTCAGATTCCCATTCCTCAAACCTGCTCTTCCTTTGTGTTTGGAGCGTGGTTACATGCTACCGTCATTAGCTACTCAAGGTCTAGCTGAAAATAGCATTCTTGCAGCCAATGAGCTTCATCTTTCAGGAAAACATTCAGCAGCAGCTGCAACTGCAACTTGCAGCAATCACACACATTTTCTTCGTGAATGTAAATTTATCTGACTGTGTAATTTACATGAATTGTATCTGCTCTTTGTTTTTACAGGTGTATTCGTCCGTCTATTTCTGTGGTCATGTATTCTTCCTTGTAGCCTTTTTACTCATGCCATACCTCCGTAAGGCACTGGTGCCTAAGAAAGAACGGAGCCAGAAGAAGCAGGAATAAAATTTGGTACTAAGACTTGGCATGGTAAGCAAGTGCAACCCTTCCGTCCATACTGTTGTGACACATGACAAGCACTGAAACGACGTCTGTTTCTCCTTCCAGGTCCGTCTGAGGCTAAATATCCACTGAAGGGAACTGTGACTTTTCGAGGAAAAGAACGGAAAATATTTTAAGGCCTTTAGTAATATATATGTCCATGTAAAAATAAATTTCTATATATTTTTGTGTTTTAAATGGGAAGGGTGTTTTTATAAACATTCAAAGAAATGTTTACAGGAAATTACCATTGTGCCACGTGGGGTAATTGTGAGCCAATCAGGGGTGATTTCCTGTTTGTTTATTATTCTCTCTTGTTGTTCATTTTAAGTCATGTGGGACTTGTAGAACTTGAGAGACTTACATGCTGTCGACACAGAATTGCACTCACCGGTCACGGGTTCAGAGTCCGTCACTGACTCCGCTGTGTTTTATGTTTCATTTCCCCGTCTTTTGTCTAGCACCTGCATTTAGCAGCAGCATTAAGCCTCGGCAGGAGGTTTGAGCACAGCGCCAGTGTGTGCGGCGCTCTCTCGTGGATTAAGACAACGTGCATACAGCTTTCTGCAAAAGCCACATGATAATAATAATAATAACAATAATAATCAGGGGGGTTATTTTTTTTTAAATGGCTGCCAGTGGTTATACAAGCACTGTAAATCACAGACACTGTACATTAACACCGACTCAAAATGGCCTTGTATTAATGAATGTTTTTACAGTACATATGTCCGGGTTTTAATTTGATTTGTGATGAGAGAGAGAAAAAAAAAAAAAAGATTTGATTTTATAGAGTTTTAACAGCTTTTATGAAAAAGAAATTTTTTTATCTTTGGATAAGATTTCATGAATGGATCCGCATCGTTCTCCTGCCTTTCCTCATGTGATGTTGTGGTTGTTTTTCTTGCCATACATCCTCCTCTTCCTCACTCCAGACTATGACTCTCCTCTCGTCTCTCCGCCTCAGGCCCTCAGTTCTGAGATGCACAGTTTGTCGAAGTTAATCATTTCATAAAAAGACTTACTCACTGCCCAAACATAGTCACTACAGTTTAATGTTCAGACCCTCACCCTGGTTTTATAAACAAGACGCATAGGATGTGTCTTGAGTTGAGGTATTGTCTCATTTTAACTTTAAAACAAAAACAAACAAAAAAATCTACACTTATATTTGATTTCCACAGTTTCACCTGTTCCTCTACTTCTAACAGGCGATGGGGGGGAAAAAATGAGCGAAGTGCAAGCATCCCATCCCTCTGTGGGAATACTTTGTTTTTCGGGATGGGGGGCTGGATTGTCTGAAAGCGTGCAGGAGAGCAGCCCGGCCCTGCTGCTGCCGTCCCTTCACTGAAGCTGACACACAGGGAGGATGAACCTCGCTGTAGCTACAGCCCAGATTTTAGTAATATTTATACATGACATGGTGATGATTAATTAATGTGAACTGCTATTTCAAGAGACTACTTCTTTGCCTTATTCCTACCAAATGTACACAGGAAAAGAAAACTTGGAATTGATGAGGGGGGAGTGATTTTTTTCAAATACGCTTTTATAACTTCATTAAAATGCTGCATTTCAAGCAAGGACTCTGGTTGGTGTGTGCGTGTGTGTGAGTGAGGACAGCTGTTTAAATTTGTGTTTGAACTTGTGCTTTCTGTGTATCTTTGTGAGGACCGTTTTTTGCAAAGACTGTGAATTAGGACATTTGGACGGTCCTCACCTTTTCAAAGGCCTGTTTGAGGGTTTTAATAAGGTTTAGTTTGAAGTCATCATGCCAAAGATATAATAATAACCCAAATAGGAAAAGAAAACTTGGATCGATTAAGGATTCACAATCTGAAACGCACATTCCAAAATTAAAAATCTGAGTCAGTGAGTCCCAAATCTTAAATCTAAAAGATTTTAAAATGTAAAGGATGAGTGAAGAATTGTGTGTGTGGTTTGCAGGTATTACTCCTGTTGTGGGGACACTTGTCTTCCTTCTGGTTTTCATGATATAAATGCTTAAATCTGAAGGTGAAGACATGTTGTCAGGTTAAGGTCAAGGTTGGGTAAGTAGTAACATGGCTAAGTTGGGAGACAGGACTGTGTGTGGTGGTAAAAACGTAACTTGTACTTAGGTTCAGGTTAATCAAGGAATTAGTTAGTTGTGGTTAATGTGTGTGTACTTGTATGTATATCTTTGTGAGCACCATTTTAAGCATAGACCCTACAGAGATAGGACATTGAAGGAAAGAGAGGACATTTTGACCAGTCATCCCAGTTTCATAGGCCTGTTTTATGGTAAGAGTTAGAATTAGATTTAGTTTAGGGTTAGGATAAAGGTTAGAGTGATGGTTAGGCATTTAATTGTGGTGGTTAAGGTTAGTGTAAAGGGCTATATTTAGAGTATGTGGGTTTATGCTTGGTACCATGTGGTGAGACGTGACACTTTGGCCAATCCTCACTTTCTCAGACTTGGTTTTAGGGTTAGAATTAGGTCTAGCTCAGTTTTAGGGTTGGGCATTTAGTTGTGATGGTTAGGTTCAGAGTGAGGGGCTACATGGAATGCATTATTCCAATAAGTGTCCTCAAGAAAGACACAAGTAAAAACGTGTGTGTGTCCAATGTCTTCATTTGTACACGAACACAGGGCAAAAAAGTGGGGATATGACGTCATTTTGCAGTCTGGTTATGAGCAGCTTGAGATGAGGGAGGATTATTATTTTTAAAAAATGGAGGCGTCTGGCTCAGAATTAAAAAAAGAAATAAAAGAAAGGTGAGGAGCTTTGTCTGAGTCACTGTTAATGTGCGTTTGAACAGCAGAAAAAGAGCCAGAGCAGCAGTCTGGTCGCCAGCTGGTGGAGGGGGCCGGGCGGACGGAGGGATGGAGAGGGAGAAGGACGCAGTGTGGGCGGGTTAAGAAACGCCGAGAGGGAGGGGACGCCAGCGTAGCACCGCTCTCTCGCTCTCTATCTCTCTCTCCCCCCCTCTCCTCTCCTCCTCCGTGCAGCCGAAAAACAAGGGCATCCATCGGCGTCTCAACCTTCCTCATACCTCCTCATCCTCAGTCCGACACACACACACACACACACCTGACATCCCCTCGTCTGGGCTCTATCTCTGTGTGCGTGTTGCTGAGTGAGCGTGTGTCCTTCCTCCTCCTCCACCTGGAAGGGTTGCCTTGTTTTCGGCCAGCGACGGGGGGGAACTGCCGTGTCGAGCCGTGTCGAGCCGAGCCGAGCGGCAGGGGCGTGAGAGGCGGATGCTGCGCGCGTAGAGGCTGGGTACCAACCAGGAGCATCACCGCACTCACCACGGTAACGTCAGCTTTCTGCATCCCTCTGGATTGTGCGACATTTTCCTCTGTAACACAGAGAATAAGCAGCTGTGTCGCCCAGGTTCTTAGTATGTGTGAACAGCAGCATGATTACTGTCGCATTATTTTTTCTGTCCCTGGCTGTGATGTGTAGTCTGAACAACCTGTGAACAGATGCCACAGTCTGCATCTCCTCGTTTTATCTCTATCTCCTGTGCAGTGTAGCCTCACCAGGCACTGCAGCAATGGAAAAAAAATGTAGAGGCTTGTTATGTCAATGAGAGCTGCGAAACCCCCAAGGACTCATTTTTCAGCTGTGGCTACTGCTACAAGACAGCAGCTGCATCTTTAACCTATCAGACCACAATTAAACGCAGGGAAAACACCCACACAGCCACATATAGGATAAAGCCTAAACAGCAACGCACACACACACATATGTGCACACTCAACATCAGGTGTATACTGTATGTGCTTATCCATATGCTCATGTGCATGTCAGTGTGATCCTGAAGGAAACTGTCCCGTGTGTTCATGTGTGTGCATGTGTGTTTGTGTGTGTGTGTGTGTGTGTGTGTGGGGAGGGGGGACATTATGGATTATTTGCTCATTCAGCTGATTCAACATGCAGCTCTGATTTAAGATCATCATGTGGCGGCTGCTGCCTGCAGGCCTCCACCAGAGGTTACATGCACGACACTTTGCTGGTGATGTCTCGTGCACAAGCGACACTCTGCACCATCTGATACAGGCCTCGCTCTCTGTTTCTGTCTGTCTGGTTATTTCTTCTCCACTGCTGATCAGTTGTTGATGCATGTACTGTAACCCCCCCCCCCCTCTCTCTCTCCTCACCCCACCCTGTTACCCACCTCTACCTTTCCTCTCCTCCCTCAGATGGACAGAATGAGTATTCTCTCCTTTCTCCTCCTTTGCTTGACTTCGGTTGCCAATGGCAACAAAGGTCAGTTCCTCATCCTTTTAATTGTGAAGTGATAATGGTTTTCATCGCCATAGGAGCACACAGACCGTTCAAGTGTTTCAGATTCATCCCTTTGCTCTTTTGCCCTGAAATACCTCATATGTCTTTATTATAATCATGATTCCTCATTACATAAACTGTGCATCTGCGACAACACACATACATGTTTAAATGTTTTGTGTTTCATCTTCATGACCCGGTGGGCCTACTTCGCCTGTGTGCTGTGACTCCGAGCAGAGATGATAACTCTGTTGCCCTGTCTATAGCAGATTCATCATCCTGGATAACCATGACTCTGATTCAACATCATTGTTCCAATGATTATCATGCTGGGCGAAGGCGAGCGAAACAGACAGCGTGGAGGGAGAGAGTGTCAGAGGAGGAGGTAGAGGAGAGCGGTGCAGGGAACACGAGGAGATTGAAGGAGAGATAAAGTGTCAGAGAAACATGGAGAGAAAGAAAGAGAGAGAGGGGGGAGGGTGGGGATGTTGGGAGGAATGGAGGAGGAATGGTGGAAGAGAAGAAGCTGTGACAGGTGAGGACGTGGCTGAAAAAACGCAGGCTGATAAAGAGGGAGGAGGAGAGAGAGGAGGAATGTGAGGAGTGTGATACCAGAGCGTGTGTGTGTGTGTTGTGTGGCGATAGAGTGACAGAGACGAGGAGTGCCAGAGGAGACAGAGAGAGATAGAACGGGATGCCTCTCAATCTGTAATCCCGGATGTAATCCACAGGCCTGATGCTCAGATTAATGCTATATAGCAGCGGAGGGAGGGAGCAGATCAGCGCAGGGGACAGAGGGCGGAAGATAAATGACCAAAAAAGAGACACGATGTAGGACTGTGGAAACAGAGGAGGAGGAGACAGTGTCAGGTTGGACCTTGAGAGGGGACGATGAATATCTGGGATCAAAACTTTTTTTTGGGTCCCAATCAATATTAGTTTGAATAGAATAGTAGCATAAACAGTCTGGTATGAAAAACCCAGTCACAGTTGCACTTATGTCAGATATTTCCTGATTCAAATAATACGTTTGCATAAAAAATGTATTAAACAATAACATTCAGGCAGTTTTCTCGTGGGTGGACATTTGAAAACAAGTAAGAAATATATTTTATAGAATAAAAAATGTTTTGTATTTTTTGTTGAAAAAAAATTGTGAATTCAGAACTAATTAAATGTTTTTCACTGAGCATCTAGTGATTAATTAATTTATTACTATTCTGCTGATGAATTTCTTGATTAATTGCCCCCAAAAAACACAAACACTATAAATACACACACAAATAATCCCAATTGAGTGTTTTAACATTTTGGTAAATCAATTAATTCACCAAGAAATTAATTAAAACTAGTTGCTAATTGTTTTTTTTAAATTTTGATTGGCCAACTGATTACCCATCCAATTGTTTCAGTGTCAATATCTCAATATAAAATACTAAATTACAAGTAAAAGTCCTTCATTCAACATTTTATGCAAGTAGAAATATCCACCACTTTTCCTTAGTCCCAATGGGAAATCAATGAAAAAACCATTACAATGTGATCTCACAACGTTAAAGAAAGTAACGAAAACATTTCCTGGATGCACACCAAAATATAATGGATTCTTTCCTTACCCATACTGCATCCTTCCACAAAGTTTTATTATAATCTGTCCTGTAGTTTTTGCATAATCTTCCTCCAAAATAGTTAAAAAAGGTCTGAAGCAGCATTTTAATGTTATATTGACTTAATATCTCTGAGTAAATAACACATGAAAATGAAGAAAAGTATATTTTACTCTGATATAAAAGTGAAGTTGGAGTATAATGTACTACAAAATAGAAATACAAAGTGAAGTACCTCACACAGATTCAGAAAAGCATATTTATGTTTGTCAGTAAGATACAGAGAAAAAGTCTAACTTTGGTTTTGGTATCTAAATGCAGTTATCTATGATATATTCCCTTTAAGTGAATACCCAGCTGTGTGTGTGAAGAGCGAGCGGTTTGATCAGATCCAGAACCAGCAGCATTTCCCTCCGTCGACTCTCCTCCCACCGACAAGACAGCAGAATTAGTTCCAGTCAGATTTTCTGGTAAATTCACTGTGAAAACAACAAAGCAGCTGCTGAACACAAGTCTTGTGCCTCCGTCTGATTTCAAACTCTGTAGCTGCGACGTCGAGAGATTGAGGACAACAGAGGGAAGGCACGCCGGCTTTTGTTTTTGCTCTTTGTGTAAAATCGTCATCCTTCTGCCTCATTAACTTGGTTTTTGATCATTCGGCACAGAACATCCGACACACTGATGAATAATTAATTTACA